CGCAAAGAACGATATTGGTGCCGGTCTGTCTGATGCATTCAATCATGTTCTCCGATGTCGGAATGATAGGGAGTGTCCGCCTATCTCCCACGGAGGTAGGCGCGTATAGTGTTGCTGTAACACCGATAAGCATTGCATACAGCTGTGCGGCCACACCAAATATGTGAAAGGGGGGAAGGGCCATTACGCCAAGACGGACGGACGGATAGCTCCGATATTGCCATAACAGAGCTGCACCACGTCAGTTTGCTATCAAAGATCAGACTAAAATAGCCGCACGGGCGTTCATCCAACTAAGTTGACTCCTGTGGTTTTGAGCGATAGGTTTAGGAAAGCCGGTGCTTCCTGAAGAATGCATGTATAAAACGGTTTCGGTTATCCGTGTGATTGTAGGGCGCTTAGGGTATGGCACAAAGGAATGGACAAGGGATTCGTTGCCTAAATGAGGGTAAACTTCTGATATTGGAGGTATCTCGGTGATTGTCAGACTAGTGCCACTATTCCGCATAAGGCGCTGGACATCATCAAGGAGAGCGGCGTGATTTGGGGAGATGGAAGCTATACGACGGCAACTTGTTCGGAGAAGTAAATCCGCTATGGCCTGCGGTGGATTTCGAGGAGATATAGGAAATGGCTAGGCGAATTAAAATAAAACAGTGGTAAAGTCAAAAGGATGGTTACTCACCACGATCCCTGCAATCATGAGACCGGCTATCAAAGTTGTATAGAGAAGGGTGTCTGTGTGAACAACTATTGCGGTTACCTCGCCTTCAACTCCAGTTCGACTGGGTCGGAGTGCGTGGGCTATTCGATGAGTAGCTCTGCCGAACTCGCGGTAGGAAATGGAAGTTAGTGCGCCGGTTTGTGAGTCTGGAAAGATGTATATCGGCAGAGATGCATTCCTCTGCATGTGAAAGTCAATGATATCTGGAAAAAGGAGTGAGCCATCGAGAGGAGGACACTCTGGCTTAAGAGATGTGGTAGCCATGACTGTACCACGGAAATGTGGACAAGAAGTCAGAGGGGTGTTTGAAGTATATATAACCAGTTGGCCAGCTGGGTATCCTGATCGAGTGCAGTTACGAAGACAGTCTGACCGTCTGCATCAGGTGCAGGCACGTAATGACCTACGTGTTGGAAGGTTGGATGGTCAGAGTCTTCAAAATCCCGAGTCGGATTGCACAATTAAGTTGTTCCCATCACTGACCGCAATCATTTCTATCCAATAGGACTAGCTGCAAGAGGCCCACGACAAGAAAGCATGCAACCTGAATCAGCATTTGCACGATTCCTCCGTTTCGGAAATGAAAATAATTAAATAAATTCACTTCACGTGGTCACCATAGCGTCAGCTATCACGCGTCCACAACTTCAGCTGCTAGGCAATGTCAAGGTGAGCCGATTGATGGCATTTTTGCATTGAACAAAAGCTATCAACTTCAATGACAAGAATTCGAGTCTAAATCTTAATCCCTCGATTCCCCGCCTGTTCAAGGTGCCTCATGCTGTGCTGAAACTTATAAACGGTGCTGACAGGTGCTCGGATCTTGGATCTGCATGCCTGACGCAATCAGCGGTTGTGAATTCCGAGGATCCCGAAAGATGGCACAGTGTTTTTTCAAAGACCTTAATCCATTCACCAGCATCTTTCAGTCGTGGTTGATTGAGATTGACATCAATGAACGAAATGAAGAGCGACTCATGGAGTGACCATACAGAGACTCATCTATGAGGACCAAGCTGCAAATCATCAAGATTTACGATTCTCGACGAGAAATAACTCACGTTCATAATTCTTTGCTAGGCAGTCGCTCTCCCACCTGAGACCGCTGAAACACATCTTAGTCATGTCACATAAAAAGTTTTTTCTACCTTCCGCCGCTTCAATACCAGCACCTTGTCCGAGGCTCAGCGCAGGCAGACAAAAGAAGCAATACCCGTCTCGGCCTTGGCATCGTTCAAGCGGTAGATCTATGTATTTTTTTTTTGAAGCTATCAGCGAAGTCCGTCGGCATGATCGCATGCTCAAAAATGACACCGTCAGTATGATCCTCAAGGTGGTGCACGTTGCTTACAGTCATTCGGGTTCTGGCATAAAGCTCGTTTGATTCTTTGATCAGATTATGCAAACCAGTCTTCAGATTTCCTTCGCCTTCACGACGCAGTGGTAGTAGTTAAGCTCTCTAACTGACGACCGAAAGACTTGCTGAGGATGTACTAAACGGGGGAGGCGGAGCCTCGATAGCAACAAACAATGTCAAGAATGGCAGCAGCCTTACCTTCGACAACCTGGCTTGGGGCACCCCCTAGGAGATTAGGCGACATCCCAGCTCCCGACCCACACTCCCAGAAAAAATTAATTAACTCCTGCTGCATGCGGTGGCGTGAATTCGTTAAATGACGACCACGATCCGTGATATCTCAGGAGCCGTTCGGTTCATGACAATCTTGAAGCGAAGCAATGTTGAATCCGCTCTTGACGAGAATCTGAGCAGTCGTCGCGTCAAAAATGGCGCGTGTAGCCAATATACGTGACAAGAACATACTTTCTCTCTCCATACCGGGCGCAACTGGGATACCTCCTCGGGAAAGGCGCGTTTGACGTGTTCCCTGGCCTAACTCGACGCCATTCAGATTGAGGAAGCGATCAACGCCCAACGTAGATCGATGGATGGAGTCACGGAATCCTACTTAAGATTGAGCACCCGGGGAACGTGGAGTAGTACATAGTACATACTGGTGGAGGCTGGCAGGGGGCTGGGGTGCCAGTACTAATAGTCTTCGATTATGTAATCGGTGGCGACCACTGGCGCTGCGAAACTGTTGCCCCATTTAGATCAAAACTTTTTTGCGGGAGTCAATTGCAATTGTGGGCATCCTTGCAATTGGTTCTAGGCATGCATGATGCGCAGATGGGCCTAGCAGCTAGGGCCTGCCGGGTCGGGAGTCCGCCTTGGAGCTCGAGTGGCAACACGATCCGATCCGAACCATTGGCTGAATCCGGCCCGACGGCCCGCGCTGTGGTCGCTGTGCTCTCTTCGCAAAACATTCCGAGTCTCCATGGTCAGTTTGCGGTGGTCAGATGTGGTCTGGCATGGGCGCAGTTTTCCTTGACCTGACCCGTGATTTAGGTGGCCCATTGCAACTTTGCTCAAATAGCGACTTATGGCCACTCCACGTCACTATGTTGAGGCACAACAATACTCCATTTGTGCAGCAACAAGGTTCTACTATAATCTAGCTGCACTAATAAAGGTTGTAACAATCAAGAGCTTATTGGTGCATTAGATTCGACTTGATCACGGGAAGGCAGAACCGAGTCTTCGGAATCAGCCGCTCAGCTGCTCATCTTTCCGTCGAACCTTGTAAGGATCACCTCTTCGAGGGACCCGGGCCGCCATTTCCGAAAAACGACATGCACGATATAAGAGGACGATCGAATTGCATATGACGCAGGTTATCGTTTATTCTCACCTCACCGTATCTCCTGCAAACAATGTCTTTCGGAAAGGTTCTTGAGCTGAACACAGGTGCAACCATCCCCGAGATCGGTCTCGGCACCTGGCTCTCTAAACCAAATGAAGTCGAAAGTGCTGTGAGTCACAAGTCATTGTAGTGTCCTGTCTTGTCTTGCTCACTTTCCTATAGGTCGAGATTGCTGTTCGCAATGGTTATCGCCACCTTGATCTTGCTATGATCTACCGGAACCAGGACGAGGTCGGACGCGCGCTGAAGAAAGTCATACCATCCGTTGTGACTCGCGAGCAGCTTTTTATTACCTCGAAACTCTGGAACTGCTCGCATCAGCAAGGACCAGCCGAGGCTGAACTTGATGAGACACTGAAGCAGCTTGGACTCACCTATCTCGATCTCTATCGTGCGTCATCACCGAGCGTTCCTTCATTTTTATGAACTCATACATTTGTGACAGTTGTACACTGGCCTGTTGCATTCGAGCCTGGAAACGGTCTTACTCCCCCACATCCGACCAAGGAAGGAGAGGCACACTTGGACCTCAAGACCTCCCTTGTCGACACCTGGAGAACGATGATCAAGCTGAAGGAAACTGGCAAAGTAAGTCCACGGCATCGATTATAGTGCAGTCATTTGTATTTACTTTTCGACAGGTCAAAGCTATTGGTGTTTCCAACTTCACGATCGAACACATCAAAGGCTTGATTGACGCTACTGGCGTCGTTCCTGTGAGTATAATGGCCTAGTTCATCTTACCCATAATCATTCATGCAACTAAATATTTCTAGGCTGTTAACCAGATCGAGGCTCACCCTGTGCTTCCTCAAGATGACCTCGTTGCATACTGCAAGCAAGTTGGCGTCCACATCACCGCCTACAGCCCGCTAGGCAACAACTGTGGGTGTTCTGCTCACTTTCATATCACGAGAAGATCCTGACCTGAATATGCTTGGATTACAGTCGTTGGCAAACCTATGCATACCGAAAATGCTGTAGTGAAGCAAGTCGCCGAGAAACTCGGTGCAACCCCTGCCCAGGTTCTCATTGCCTGGGGTGCTTACCGGGGTTACTCTGTTATCCCAAAGTCTGTGCAGGAGGGTCAGTGGAAATAATGATGTAGATGTCAGATGATCTGACCGACTCTTGTAGGCCGAATCATCTCGAACTTCAAGCAGGTTGCACTCAGCGAGGAAGACTACAACAAGGTTACAGCAATTAAAGTGGGCAAGTCCGAACGGTGTGTTACCTCTTTCTGTGTTTGCTATTTTTGCTCAATTTAACTTTGCCTTAGTTTCAATATTCCTATTGGATTTAAACCGAAGTGGGACATCAACCTGTTTGATGAGGAACTGGAAAAGACTGCTACCAACAAGGTCAATATTGCATAGGCGTGTCGGGGAAGGAGGAGGAAAGAAGTCTGTATATTTGTTGCCAAGCATGCTGTAATTACTAGAGTTCCCATAATCTACATAAATACTGTCTGCGATACTGAAACATAAGCTTTCAGTATATATCACTGCCTTTTCCTTCAACAATTTCCGAGGAAACTCAGAACGGTCTGAAGTGGCTGTGTATGAAGGATTAAAAGATTACGTAACATATCCGCACGGTGTGCTGGGGGCAGAACTATTTGTGGGCGGCAGAAGTTCAGAACCGGTACTAGTACTTCTGCCACTTGGCAAACTGTGCGTACGACAATATATCACTAGGAAACACCATTGGGAGAGCATCAGCATGTCCACACATCCCACTGTGCCATATAAGGTGGAGAAACATCTTTCGCTGTGATCCCCAGTAGCTTGACATATTCTTCCAGCACAGTTCTACCATGCTCAGCTGTTCATCTTTGCCAACCTCCCTCGAGGGAGGCCCGGGCCGTCATTTCCGCCAAAACGCATGTGCGCAGGATAAGAAGTCGCATATGATGTAACGCTGTTTTTCGCTCTCACCTCACAGTATCTCCTGCGGACAATGTCTTTCGGAAAGGTTATTCAGCTGAATACGGGTGCAACTGCAACCATCCCCCAGATCGGTCTCGGCACCTACACAGATCAAAATAAAGTCGAAAGTGCTGTGAATCAAAGTCATCGTGATGTCCCATCTTGCCTTGCTAACGTCCCTATCTGGTTGCTGTACATAGGTCGAGATCGCTGTCCGCAATGGTTACCGTCACCTTGATCTTGCTATGGTCTACCAGAATCAGCACGAGGTCGGACGTGCGCTGAAGAAAGTTATACCATCCGTCGTTACTCGCGAACAGCTTTTTGTTACTTCGAAACTCTGGAACTGCTCGCACCAGCAAGGACCAGCCGAGGCAGAGCTTGACGAGACGCTGAAGCAGCTTGGACTCACCTACCTCGATCTCTATCGTGTGTCATCACCGAACGTTTTTCCTTCATGTTCATGAACTCATGTGTGTGACAGTTGTACACTGGCCTGTTGCATTCGAGCCTGGAAACGGTCTTAAGCCTGTACATCCGACTAAGGAAGGAGAGGCACACTTGGACCTTAAGACTTCCATAGTCGACACCTGGAAAACGATGATCAAGCTGAAGGAATCTGGCAAGGTAAGTCCACGGCATTGATGGTAGTGCAGTCATTGAGCCTTTGTATTTACTTTTCGATAGGTCAAATCTATTGGCGTTTCCAATTTCACGATCGAGCACATCCAAGGCTTGATTGACGCTACTGGCGTCGCCCCTGTGCGTATAATAACCTAGTTCATGTTACCCATAATCATTCATGCAACTAAATATATCTAGGCTGTTAACCAGATCGAGGCTCACCCTCTGCTTCCTCAAGATGACCTCGTTGCGTACTGCAAGCAGGTAGGCGTCCATATCACCGCTTACAGTCCGCTAGGCAACAACCGTGCGTGTTCTGCTCACTTTCATGCTACGAGAAGATGCTGACCTGCATATGTTTGAATTAAAGGCGTAGGCAAGCCGATGCTTACCGAACACGTTGTAGTGAAAGAAGTGGCTGAGAAACTCGGTGCAACCCCTGCCCAGGTTCTCGTTGCTTGGGGAGTTTACCGGGGCTACTCTGTTATCCCAAAGTCTGTGCAAGAGGGTCAGTGCAAATCATGCCGTGGACGTCAAACGATCTGACTGACTCTTGTAGGCCGAATTATCTCAAACTTCAAGCAAGTTGCACTCAGCGAGGGAGACTACAACAAGGTTACAGAAATTAAAGTGGGCGGGCCCGAGCGGTATGTCGCCTCTTTCCATATTTGCTATTTTGCTCACTTGAACTCACCTTAGTTTCAATATTCCTTTTCGTTATATACCCAAGTGGGACATCAATCTCTTTGATGAGGAACTTGAAAAGACTGCTACCTACCGGGTCAATATTGTATAGGCATTCAACGAGTGTTGGAGAAGGGGTAGGAAAGAGGCCAGTATATTTGTTGCCGAGCGTGCTCACCCAACCAATTTCATGATAATGCATGCGAGGACAGTGAGTCATGATCCACGGGGTCAATATACTCAAAGGAATCCTGAGCATGATATGGTATCAAAGCCGCAGTGTGGACTGCTGAGGATGAAGGCCTCGCGATGGAAACGCGATCATTACTGGCCAGCGGATATGAATGCACAGCAGCAAAGAGTGAAATTACAAAACACTGGAGCACATCCAGAAGCGGCTGAATATCATGATGAACGCTTGTATGCAGAGTTAAAATAGGAGCAGCAACGGGGATCCGAGCGCGAGACTAGCACTTACCCTTAGTCCCTGCTCCCAGGGGGAAGTGAGCCGAGAGCTAACGAAATCCCGCGCCGTCACTCAAGCTATCAAACAAGCTTCAGCTAGCTTGGTTTATAATATGACCCTATGACGAACTTATGAGAGCAAATTGCATTCTAGAGGCCCACCTAGAATACAAGGCAGCTTTTTGCCTAGATCCGGGCTACTGCGCAACTTGGGATCCAAGTCTGGTGGGTCGTAAAAATAAAGAGAATGGCTGCTGGGAGGAAAGCAACGGTGCCTGAAATCGGCTGGGCTCTGCGGGGAAATAATGAAATCAGTTCATTCCATATATACATACTCAAGTCGCAGGCCCTGCCTTCCCAGCATTTTAGGTTCACCTTTCAAATCCAACTCCTTCAAATCGCACTCTTGCCATCGTCGAGTGTTCCCTTCCCTTTGGTCCGTTTCGTTCAGCCATGAGTAGTGGCTCGCCTACCGCGTATCTTGTGTGGTCTGTACTAGCATGCTTGGTGAGCGCATGGTGCACTTCTCCAAATAGAGCACGCTTCTCATGCATGGGTCCATGCGTAGTTCTTCTGTTTCCTGATATTTCATCTTTGGAAATATGATAGATTCCAATGTCTCAAGTGGAGCGAAACCGGGAGACAGCCTGGCGCATTCAAACGGTTTATGTCGGTGTGTACCTGGTGTTAAAGTTATTCGGATACTTCTGACGTCGTAAAAAACTCTGTCAGTACACCTACATAGCAACCTTAACCTTCCTCGTGATGTTCAACGTAGCATACACATTCATAAAGTTCAAAGAAGGTTGTTTGCATTCCGCTTGCACAGCGAATGTTCCTCATCTTTTATTGTCTAGGTTTTATCATCACCCCAGACGGGACTAGTAAGTTCCCAGCATGTGTCATTTTCCCCGAGGCTCATTCCAGAATCCAGTCTATCCAAAACCCATCGAGTTATATTCAACTACTCACAAAAAGTGGATATTGCCTCTTCTGTTTTTGTTCAGCGCAGCCTGGGCTTGTGAGATGTAAGTGCTTCTCTTGCTGAGGTCATCGCACGGCTCATGTGATTGTGGCACATAGTATCACACACTGGGAAGGTAGGTCGTGGCTGAATCCGTACCCGAGATGTCATGTTCATTGCTCCCTCAGAATTGACATTCTGGCTCTTCATCCTTCATCAAGGCCCTAAGATACGGCTTTGGTTTGACAGCTGGGAGTTCCGAGTTTGGCTACTTGGTATTGTCTATTTGCATTTGCGATAAACTTCTTTTCCTGACGAATCGCTTTTTCTCCACAGGCACAGTCGTAGCGGGGCTAGGAATGCCCTTGACTACTCTTATTTCCCGTCGGGAGCTTGATACGGTAGAGATCTCTCACAGCTGATCTGGAGTGATCTTGATAGGCCTTCTTTACAGTGCCAGGCTTGGATTTTTCTGGTCGGATCGTCTGCCTCGACGACAACTACTATTTTGTTTCTGTATGTTCTTGCAAGGTTTCCAGCTTTCATCCGACGAGTGAAAGCGGATGGAGGAGAACCAAAAATTGTCTTACGCCTCGTAATGTTTTATCAGTTGAACGTGAGTACCCATATTGTGTCTCATCACAGTTATCCATCGTAACATTCACCGTGTCAAGTTCGGACGAGTTTTGTTTAGGTTCTTGTTTACCGTTCCGCTGTTCATCTTGGCACTGGATGGTGTACAAGGAAGTCATTCGATCAATGAAAGTCCGTGAGTAGAAGCTTTGTTTATCTACGTAGGTTGAATCTCACTATCTTCGAAGTTTCTGGTCAGGTGTGTACAGGTAACCATCCGCGGGGCATCGTACTTAATCCGCTACCAGATTTTTTGATTTTGTTGGGTGGAATCGGTTGTTTTGTCTCTTCGTTCATGACCCTTTTGGTAAGCTTCTCCCTGGATAATATATTCTCCCCATTCATATTGGCCAGATATTCTTCCCCCGATCACTCACCCAAGAGCTGGGTTATACGACCGCCCTCATACCGTCAACCGTAGTCGATAAAACACAGATAACGGTATCGACTGACATCAATTATGATGCAGATAACCAGCACATCTCTTCGCCCATGCATGTCCCCAAGGCCATTGTCCACCCACCTTCTGTACACTCGTCTGAGCCTTCTCAAAGTGAAGACACGACGCCCGAATACGAATTCGAAGATTCGGCTAACAACACCCGTCATTATTCTCATTCCCATGACGGACATATGCGAATAAGACAGACATGGGAGCAAACGCAGGATATCGAGACAGACGGACAGTACATGTTCGACCGACACTCCAGGTGCCTGGTGAGGCCACACTCGGACGGTATTGCGATGGGTTTGCACCCTTATGTACGTCAATGTTTCTTTTTTCAATCGAATTTTCTAATGCTTCTAATGTTGCCATAGGTTCGAACATTCCGGTCTCCGATTGGTGAGCTACCCTGACTGTCATTCATCGTGCCCACTCATCTCCCATACTAGATATTTGTGACCTCGAGGATGATGACCATTCACTTGTGCAATAAGGCGCAAAACCCCAAAATTACTTTCGCGAGTCGTTCCGTGTTCCGTGCTCGGCGCCCTATGAATTTACGGTATATGCCGTTCGTTATTTCTGTTCAGAACAAGCTGTTGACCGTCTTTCACAGCTTTGATCTATCACCGGTTCCCACATCTACCGCCACTTACCGCATGCCATCTAACGATTTAATGATACCTTACCTACCACACTCTATCTATATTCCACCTATACCCCTGACAGTTATCTTTGAAGTGAGATACGCAATCATGTAGTCATATCTTGTTGTACTATCAGTAGAATTAGGTGCTCACCGGCACCACTCAGCGCAAATCAGGGAAACAATTTTGTTACTTTATTTTAAGCGTGATATATTGTAATAATACACTGCCAGCGCAAGACCGTGTCATGATTATTCATGGGGTGAGCTTCCGTTGAAGAAGCTTCAAGCTCCATTCTGATGTACTCATCTCTGGCTTGGAAACCCGCTGTAATGGTTCAACAAGCTGTTCCTTCGCCTTCTCTTGCATTCTCGTAGCCCAAGAATCCACTGGTGTTGGCTCATCAGGCTTCTTCCAGATGTCCTCGATGGCCGCCCGCAGCTCACACTGCAGATGATCAAACTCTATTTGCAGAGCAACACCCTCTTCGCGGTGAGCTTTGGAAAGCTGGAGGAGATGTGGTAGCAGTTTTTTGATTTCTCCTGCAAGGGTCGTTAGCCGTGGTAAATATAACATAAATGCTCTTGAACCTTGAGTAGCGGCACATCTTTCTACCAGCTTTGCGACTGACTTGAGAATATACTCCTCCTCATCGACGGTTCCTTTTCTGCCAGAACCTAACTTACGCTCCATTTTGCGCTTCGTCTTGGAACTTCGCCTGGGAGTGATGATTAGATGTTAGTAAAAGGACCGTAATGACTGGAAGTCTCACTTTGAAGCTTTCGAAGTGGCTGAGGGTGCCACTGTGTATCGCGTAAAAGTAGTAGGTGCCATGGACACATCCGTCATAACGTCGACATTATGAAGAGTCGGATCATCAACATTATAGAAGGCGTCTACTCGCATTGTCATTTCGAAAGAAGCGGACACGTCATGGATTTGGTACGCACCTGGTTCTTCCACCTTCTTGATTCGGAGCTCCGTCAATCGAACTGCTTGTTTACGAAGTTGTTCCCGCATCTCGTTGATATCATCACCAATCTGTGTGCGGCAATCCAAGGCGCACGGGAGGAGTAGTTGATCTATGAGTTCGGGTTTGGCATGTAACGTGATCTTGCATGAATGTATCAGCCAACGCATTTGTTGCGATTGTTGGGAACTACACGTACTATCCTCCGTGCTTCGGCGAACTCATTACCCTGAGCAAGGGTATTTATTGCCTGCCGGACATCCTTGGCGTAATCGAGGGATACCCGTGCAGATTCACTGAAGCGCTTCTTTGAGAAGAGTTCATCTACTCTTTTAGTCGGTTTGGAACACGATTACCGGAGAACTAGTCAGCGTACCAGCGATGCGATATGCAATCTCCGTGATTTCATCGCCATCAAGCTGCTCTTTCAGACAGAGCTCAAAGAGTTCCTGCCATTGTAGTGCTCTTTCGTAAGATATCATAGCGCGTCTTGCATCTAATGCCTCCACGAAAACTGGTATAGAAAATCAATGTCGATTTCTGTCATTTTCCGCATTGACGCACCTGTGGCTGCTTGATGATATTCATGCCGATCAAAGAGCCAAGCGCCATAGATACCCAAAACATCCTGGAGGTACAGTCAATGTGGGTTTGGGATGTCCAATAAACACAAAGCTCGGCTACCATATACTTGTCTGTGCCTTGCCAAATTGCTAGAGCCTCGTCGTATAGTTGATATGTGTCCAGATAATCCAGAGCTTCCTGGAAGTACTCGGGACCTGGATCGACGTGTAAGTATGTAAGTCAAGTTCACATCCGTCAATACACCATACCAGCGAGACTCAAACTGCGGAGAGCCTTCGCGCGCCTCTTGAGGTGATCATCAATTTTGAAGTGCTGGTAATACTGTGGCAATGCCCTGAGCTCGCGAAGGAATGGGAGATACTCTCTCGGATCCTGAGAAGAGATGAGCTGCTTGATAAAAGTCATCACAATAAGAAACACCTTTTGTGCGTGTTGTGCGACCATGAGTACAAGAGAGAAGTCATACATGCCTAGCGCCGTATCAAATAGTCGATCTGCGTCAACAAGGAAAATGATGTATTTGACGGCCTCTTCGACCAAGCTTGGGTTCACGCCTGGATGAAACTAGTTAAGTTCGATGTCTCTGCGATACGATCGACAATTCATACCTCGCAAGTGAAGCAACAGCGCCAGGCCAGCTTCATGGTCTGGTGGTGACTTGACAACGTACGCAGTAAGGATGGAGTTGACATATTTCGTCAAATCCCTGTTTTCCAAATCTTGGCGCACAGAGTCGCAAACATTGGCGACGACCTCTGCAGGCAGTTGACTTCGCCTAAAAACTGGTTAGGCAAATGTTGGAGTAGTTCATGGGTTGCATTACCCTACACTTGTCAAAAACAAATTGATGTAGTCGACGTCTTCAATCTGCTCCACAAACGCTGGAATACCAGCCATGAAAACATCTTGATTGTGCTCGACAATGATGCTGAAGTCAATGCGATGTTTACGGCAAGCCATGAAAGCCTTTCGCCACAGTCCACTGGAGTAAGACGTAAGCAATCAATGTGCGAGGGTCAATGACGAAATACGCACGCGTCTAGATCGTTTTTGACGACCTCCATTACCATAGGTCGCGGGTTAATCGTCTCAAGATTCCCTCGTGGCATTTGAAGCACCAAGCTCATTGTACTTGGCACCGCTGTGACGATTCTTGAGCCTCTTTCAACACGTCGTTTTTGCCAAGCTTGCGACGCGAGTTCGCCCATTTTGGTTTCGTCGCCAGTGGGCGAGAGCATACCATTTCCTTGACTTGAAGTGAGGATTGCAACCACATTCTCTAGAGGCGCGAATTGCACGTCATGTGAGGTAGTAGTAAAAATCACGAATCCGGAAGCAATAGTAAATGAGTTCACATTGCTGGCCAGTAGTGCCGATTCTGCATTCGAAATTGCAGCATAGATCTTGCCCCCTGCAGACAACCCCACGAAAAGTTGGGCGTCGACGCGTTGGGAGGAGAGGCAGTGTTCTGTAAAAGAGCAAATTTGCGAATAAGATTCTTCTTCCCTGTGGACTACCAGGCCGTAATCAGCCATCAAACCTATTCACATCTTAGGGCAGACGTTGCACACCTTGGAAGATGGAGCCATCAGGGGCCTGCCAAGCAAGATTTCCAGGAACTTCATGGGGGATAAGACGGCCATTTTTCTGCTGTAGCGATATTGTCCTTGATCTTGTCGCCGAAATTGACTCCAACGATGAAACAACGTGCTCAAAGTCATGAATCACGATTCGGTCGTTCCCACTGCCGTCAGAGCCGAGTATCGCAACCGAGATAGTCCTATGTTCACCATCATCATCATTCTCGGAGGAGAAAAGAACTTGACGACAATAGCAGAGTTCTCGCGGCAGATTGGCTGACCAGATAAGATTTGGGTTCATAACTGCTCCACCGCCCGGCGTGATTCGCGTGCGCAACGCCCAAATCATTACGTGTCCTTCTTGCCATACTGCAGCGAGAAGGTCATGTGATTGCGAGAGCGATATATGAGGTGGTACCTGGGACAGGAACAGGCTACCGGATGATACATCAGTTGGCGTATTCGCTAGCAACTGATGTGATGACATGGGCGGAGGTACATTTTGCGTGCGGAATGGTGTAAGTAAAATTTTCTCTGTGGACCTCTCAATAAATGAAGGGACAAGGAACGTATATGAAAACTTACGACCATCAATGACCCCGACACAGCCAGTATCTTTTGCTCCAGCACATGTCTCCCATGTGTAATCTTGTTGTATGATTTGGACTGCCGATGATTTTTTTCAGTATGGCACGATACGAAAATATGTAAAAAGTGCATACGCGGTGATGTCAAAAGAAGTCGCGTGCTCACTTCAGGATGCCAATTGATAGACGTAAAGCGAGTCGATAATGGTGCCGATATCTCTTGTTTGAGATACCTGTGGATACTACCGTAAGAAAACGTTTTATGAAGGAGAAATCATTTTCACCAGTGATAGTTACCGATGGTCCATAATTGCACGACATCACCATCTACCCGTTCAATGTGAACAGCAAGCACGTTCGAGTCCGACGACCATGCGAGATGTTTGATACGGGAGTTCCGGTCGTCTCGCAAATTAAACCCCCCATGTGGTAAACCGTTACGCTCAAAGAAGACGACGCCATGTTTTCCGGTCCGCTGAGTGTCCAATGGTCCTGCGCGAATTTCTTTTTGTGTAGATGCAATTAGATTGCCACTTGGTCTCCAGGATAGGCTCGGTTCCAGACCGGCAATCATCTCTGCAGTAGATTGAAGTCGGGCTTCGTTTGAATAAACTCGTAAAACTCGTCCTTTGCTTGACTGAGGGGTTTGCCTGGCTAGAGAAGACACCACGAAATAAGCTCCGTCGCCGCGCCAACTGACCCGAGGGAGACCATCATCGCTAGGATCTTCTTGTATTTGAGTCGGAGACTGTGACGAGTCTTTGAGATGTGCTCTTCCTATAGAGCCATGGAATTGCGTTTCCTTTGCACCCCATCCAACGTTTATTGGAGCATCTGCAAATGCATACATAATCGGAAACATAACAAGCCACAAAGAACGGCGTACCTTCGCCAAAATCTTCAGTATGCAAAGGTGCCTCGGATAGGACATCGAATGTAGAGGTCATAAGAATAAGATTTTCGTCGCCTGAACATAACATCAGCAACGGTAAGTTAAGGCAGCCTCTGGAACTAGGAAACGCACCAGTGATCATCACAAGAAGTGTATCATCAGGACTCCATTCAACAGACAATATACCTGAATCAACACTTCCTACAATATCTGGACCGCTCTGCATCGATCAACACAGCTTAAGGAAATCGTGTATATGCGCCTCACAATGAGTTCCCCAGATTCATCCAATTGCCAGGTAACTGTATCCCCACTCCTTGTCACCAACACGAGCTGTGCAGATTCGCCTATAACTCGGAGAGACAGAACTTTCGGATCGATGGAGCTGAAGGAGCCACATAAAACAGGCGCATCCCATTCGCAGGGATCAACTGAAGTCCTCCATATGCGTACACCGAATTGCGCGTCCTCCGATGCAGCAAAAATTAATCCTCTGTCAACGTCAAACGCAGCGGCGACGATAGATTCCTGGGAACCGTTACTAGAGGCAGAGTCGGAGATTTGCTCATTGTGGGCCGGTTCTAAAGTTGAAACTTTGATGGCAGATGGCACTAGATTTCGCATCGTGGATGATCAGTTTGAGAGATAATTCGGATGTCAGAACTTCATTCAGGAACGAAGGGAACCCTAACCCTAAACTCGTTCTTCTGACCATCGATCACCCTCTGACCTCACCGCGATGGCGCCCCAAGCCGTTCGGAATGACAGCAAGCCCACGGCCAGTTCTTCGCCTCGCTCAGGTCCCAAACGTACCAAGCAAAAGCGTCACCATCTTCAAAATACAGAAGAGTCCCTGCCCGGTGTTCAAAAAATCAAATCTTCACTCCGCCAAACGCGACGACTTTTGGCAAAAGAAAACCTTGCAGCTGATGTCCGCGTGGAGACTGAGCGAAGGCTGAAAGCGCTCGAGGGCGACCTTGCTCGTGCTGAAACGGCAAGGAAGGAGCGAACGTATGCTATGAAATATCACAAAGTCAAATTCTTCGGTGAGTCCAAAATGATACGCTACTCTGTCAGCAGCTATAGTATCAGCGAAGAGCGCCAGAAATTGGTCCGTAGGATCAAGCAAGTCAAGCGCGATCTTACTCCGGCACAGGGAGAGGAGAGAGAAAAGTTAGAAGGCGAACTCGAAGGTCTGAGAGTGGACCTGAACTATACTCTGGTACGGGTCTCGAATCTCACGCAATGAATTTTGTCAAACGATGATGCTACAGCACTACCCGAAAACCAAAAAGTACATATCACTTTTTCCTCCAGAAAGACGGCAAATTGATATCGTCTCGACAACTTCTGACGACAACGACCAACGCATCACGGTCCGTGCTCTCATTCGAGACCAAATGCAGCGTGGCAAAATTAGCACACAACCCGAAAATGAACTCGAAGGTGGCAGACGACCAGTTACGTATACATCGGGTCATTCCCGAAACGGAGAAGGGTCTCGTAGAAAGGACGATCAAACTAGCCTGGTATCACATCGTACCACCGAAGATGATTTCTTTGGCGAGGATGGTGAGACAGAAGCCTCCGGCGCATCAGAAATGGAAGTCGAGTAGTAGAGTTTTTGTTTCACATGCCACCTTCTGATCTTAACGTTCTCAAGCAGTTGTCCGAGAATAGTGATTCAACTAATGCCTCTAAAATAATACAATGCATGCGATCTAAGTGAGACTTCTAAGAGCTTAATATTACATCATTGTCAATCAAGGACATTGTGCTTCATACATCGACAGACAGCTTGTTCAAAATCGCAGACAACATCGGATTTCCACCCAGTCTCTGAACTTCTGCTCTACCCTGGACTTCCAACTTTTTGAGCACAGCCAGAGTGTAGTCAAACGACTTGGTAGTGTCCCTGAGGTAATTGATGGTGTGATGCTTGAGGGTAGGAGTCTTGGGGCGCTTTTGCAGGACATCTAACAATGAAATCGAATTAGATGGATTCATAAGAAGGAATTGAAGAACCCACTCATGATTTGTCGGTTATCAGGCTGTTCCAGAATGCCGTGAACAATGGGGAAGGAGAATTTTCCTTCCGACAAATCTTCCGCGAAACCCTTGTTATCCGTGTACTATGGAGCGGATTCAGATTGTGCCATCGTGTCTCAGAATGCATGAAAGGCTAACCTGACTGCTCTGAAGGTTCATATAATCGTCACGTATTTGGAAATGAACCCCGATGAGGTCCGTCAAAGGGATGTAGTCACTGATTAGAATTTCAGTCAGTTTAGGAACATCAATGGGTTCTACGCAAGACTTACACATTTGTGTTCGTCGTAGCACATGCCATCATAAGTTTGACGGCAATCCTGAGGAGACCACCCGTTTCTGGCAAAGTTCTTCACAAAAGGAACCTGACACAAAGATGACAACCTACTAGCTCTAACCATGTCCACATATTCTTCTTCCGTGGGACAGCGCAGAGTGTCGCGCCAAAGGATGTCCATACCCTGCCCACGATGAAGCGACATGAGCTCACCTATACGTATTGTAACGTTAGAATTGTTGTAACAATGATGACACATAACTAACCGGTCACCACAAGGTCCAGGTCAGAGTTGGGAATGAGGCGGTCGGGGACATCAGTCTTCTCGGCTGGACAGTCCTCACCGAGCCCACTGTCTGAACTCGAGCTGGAAATGGGAGCGCGACGCCGAACAGCCGGCCTCAGAGCAGCCAGCTCCTGGTAGGCCAAGAAGTAGACGTAATTGGCAGTATTAATAGTCTGAGGAACACCATATATTTTGTGGGCGACTGAAAGAAGATCATGCTCAATAATGCCTTTCAGGGGGTAACGGCGACACAAGACCAACCTGGGATCCCACGTCTGAGCTGAGAGTCATCTTCGATATCGTCGATCCTGTAAACAGGGAATGAGTCGGCGCTAAAAGGAGTCCGACAAGGTGAAAAGACATACAAGAGACTGCCATTATGGAGGAGACCAACTACACGATTGATGACCGCAAGCTTGTCCTTTGGAACATTAAGCCAGTAGTTGAAACTTTCGATGAGCTTTCCCCGAATTTCTTTGCCCGGGTTAGCAGTGATGTAGTTGTATGGTTCGAGCAACGACTAGCATGGCGAAGTTAAGCTATGTAACCTCGAGGCCATAGACGCCACTCACAGATTCCTGAGCTTCAGTCCAAGAGCTTGATGATGTGCCCTGGAGGGTTGAGAGGAAGTTATCGTATTTGTTGACGGTGGCCATAATTACGGGCTATTGAAGATGGGATTTAGTTGGGATGATACGAAGCTGGACTCATTTTATATGAAGAGGGTAATATACACGATACTTATTCGGAGGCGACAAATCCAGCCGAAGTAGCTCAAACCCAAAACAGTAATAGTAGTCTTAGATAATGTTGGTCTTGCCGAATAGGACCAGCCCTGACCGCCATGGCTAACAGTTAACGTACGTTCCCTGTATCGCCTTGAGCGGAGATCTAAGAATCCTCAGATGGAAGTAATCTGAAGCAACGATGCAGCGTGAGATTAGGAACGTTTTGCCATCTCGCTGATAAGCATGCCCAATGCCCCACTGCCTCCAGATCTAGAGTACGCACTGCGCCTCCATGCATCATCGCAAAAGATATATAAAAAATGCACAACTCGGTCCGCTGTTTATACCGAGCGTCTTTGGCGAAGAACTTTCACAGCTGTGCCGGTCACGGTACTCTCGTACGATGATGACGAATGCATTTGGATCAGTCTTCAAGTCGAACCATTTGTACAGTTGAGGCGAGCTGAGGAAGCGAGCAGCGATAAGCTGGTTTAGAGTGTGGGACGTTCTTGTATGTCAAAGGAAAGTACAACCCGTAGTAATATATACAAACGAGCTCGGAGGAGACGTGGAGGCGAATTGTAAACGCGGATAAAGGATAGTAATACATATATAACATCTTAACAGTCCGAGTAATATAACGACGACGAAACAAACTCCAAAAAGTAACCCCATATCCATGTTCCTGCTCAGCAAATCTCTTAAAAATGCCCAACAAGTTTAATCCCCAAGCCCTAAAGGCACATCGGGGCGAGAGTTGTGGTCGGAGATCGCTGATTGCCAGCACAGCTCCTCATAACTTCGGACAGGTGAAAGAACTAGGTCCGGGTCAACATCTTCTAACCAAGCAGTGCTATAATTATAAGCACTCGGAATGATCCGGCGCAACTCGTCGTGGAAAAAGTCAAGTAAAAGCTCTTGTTGCGCTATGGCTTGCCGAACGTCTGGCGAACATGCGCAAGAGTAGGAATCTGGGAGGGGCGAAGAAGAAATTGGACTGTCGGTCCCAGGTAAGCGATACCAAGGACTGTCCCAAGCAATGTTAATGTATTGTGCCGCGGCTTCGCTGTCAGGAACCGTAGAGCTGGCAGCGGTGTCATCGCTGCCGTCCGAAAGGGATTTCATATGGTGGGCTAGCCAAGGACTTATATCAAAAGTCATCAGACCATCAAGGTCATCGCAGGATCCGTATTCGTCATCCTGGAGATCACAAGGACCCTGATGGCCGACAAAATTGAATGGATGCGCATAGATGCCGTCGGGCGATGAGGGCACTTTGGAGTCAATATTAGGTTTTTCGTCCTAACAAGTTTGGTTTGCGATAAGTAAGATGCGGCAAACTTCATTTCATTCGAGCGCTAACCGATTTGACCCCTGTAATCCAATATTGGATGTTCTTCATATCTTCATATATCGGCTTCGATCGCGATCCTGACTTGTCCTGAGGTGATATTTGCGACATAAAATGAGGGTGGTAGGAATCGAATTGACCAGCAACTCCAGGTCGAAAACTAGCTGAGGAATGATATGCCATGCGAAAAGTACAGTGTCCGAAAATACAGTGTTAGGAACGCAGCCGCGCGGGCATGAGTAATGGACTGCAACTCTTCAGGAGCTTTTTATGCCATCGCCGCTGATTGTATTGAAGCACACCAGACGTCCACAATAGCGAGTACCCGTTATGGGACTCCGGGGCGAGAACCTATATCGCACACGTGACGATGTGACAAAGGGTAAGACAATAGCTAATGTGGGGCCGGCAGTCCGTGAATAGAATAGCCCAAAGCTAATGGGAGTTTGCTGGATGAGCCGCATAATACTAGGCGCCAGAATTTGTTGTCTTGCGGTGATAAGAAATGGATCTAGTATCACTTTAAGATTGTATCCGGGCGTAAACAAGTGTCAGTTGAGCATGTGAGCAGGTGTACAACAAAAGAAGGTAGTTGACTTGCGTCAATCCTCGTTTGATGAACCAATCATATGGTCTCAATCACGATTGCAGTCATGACGACCACTCGTGCTGCCATCGTTTAAGCCGAAGTCTCCCCAGAATGATATCATGCCTTCCTTCAGCCATCTTTACGACCTCACCAATCGCGTTCGAACACTGCTCGTCAAACAACCTCAATTTTCTATTTCTCCTGAGTGTATGATCGGGTCTGGTGCCAGGTGCCGGGAGAGAATAAGGCTGGTATTGCGCAGACGTCCGAGGGAGTTGCGGTTTCCAAAAAGGCTTGTGGGAATAATACAACTTTTCGACCCACAAAACATGGTTTTGTCGTAGCCATTTCAGATTGCGAGTGATTTTATGGGCAAGTCCTCGTGATACCGCCGCGGTCGCGAGCAGCGAAAGCGTATGATCCACTGAGAATTTCGACACACCATTCAGAACTCGACATAATTAGAGATGGCACCAAGAATTAGATGAACCCACCCCGTTTGTGCCATGTATGTAGCCACTGGACAATATTCGTACGCTCAGATGAACAGACGTCGGGGTGCTGAAGCCTGTGGATTTTGGATGCAGCCTCGTCGAAGACAGGCCTCCACAACCGACGAACTTGTGTTTTCGACGGAGAGTGGTGCAGCACCACCGCGGAATTAGCTCGAAGAAAGAGCCGGTACAAGCTTCTGAATTCGGTTGGAAGAGTAGCGTTGGTATGCCTGAGAGTCATGGTTGGTTAGTATGTGTACTACTCTCAGCCTTGGCTCAAACAGTACATCAAACTTACATGCAGTGACTTAATACGGTAAGAGAGATAAGGCATCAAATTATGTAATATGCATCAATATTCAATGTGAATTTTGCGCTCAGTGCAATGATTGATTGGTTCGGCGCGGGGCCACCCCAGTGTTAGTACTCGCACACCTCATCAATAGCGAAGTAATAGGCCAGCATGCGTAGGATAGGACCGCCCACACCAAGCCCACACTCTTACTTCGGGAACACACTGCCCTGCAAACTCTAAACATTCAAAGTACTCTCAGAGTCTATCCAGCTCGCATTACGCACAAGACAGCTGGTGGTGAAACCAATCAAATCAGAGTACAACTCATTCGGCAACCCAGCGATGGAGTCGCTGCCTGCAAAGATACTATGGCAGATTACAGCGCAATACATTGCTCGTGACTGCGCTTTACTTCAAGAATCATGTTGCAGAGTGCTAGGCTATGTCACGGTAGTTGGTGAGTTTGCATTTCCTGCATTTGATTTGTTTACCTGCCAAAGGACCCAGCTGACACCACTCATATACTCCAGTCGGGTACCAGTGGTATGAAGGATGCCAACTATAACCAGTCACGCATTCTTTTTCATTGCATTCTAGCTTCCTTCAGATGAAACCATAGCTTATAGGACGTGGAACCAAGCTCACTTTCCGGATAGCGGCCTAAACAATTCGGACTCTTTCCAGATCCATCGGATTTATAGATGAGTCATTTCATGGCCGGTAGATTTTCACCATTACTTTGAGCTTCAGGGCCAGACCTTGCGTTGACGGCAGGCGCCCGTGACAGCGGAAGTGGCTAGTTTCGATCGTCCGTCAAGCTTTCAAGTACTAAGAGGTAGCTCACGCTTATTTGTTTGACACGTTTGAACCACTGGATTAGCTCCGAGGGCGTTCGCATCCACGACTGGTTGACGTTAACCCGCGGCAAGTCCGACTTGCGCGGTGGCGGCATAAATGCATAACTGCAATCTCACTCCTGCCCCTGATCTTCGGATCCGACTATGCTCCACGGAAATCAAGTCATTCTTCACGTCCTTGTCTTCCATAGTTTGCTGGTGATAAAGAGCATCAAGTTCAATCCCGTCCCGCTGGGCACCCAATCTGTGATTGTAAGAATGGTTTCGATGATATGTCGGTAAACAAGCATTGGCATCATGGAAGGCAGGTAAGATGGTCATAGAATTGATCTGTGTCTTGATCATTGCAAAGGTCGAAATTGAACCGACATTATTCCGATATCGCAACTTGACCGCGGCCAAGTTACCAACCACGATTCCTCGCACTTGTGAATCACGATGTCCGCGATTGCAATATGGCTATTATCATCACCATACACACATTAATCTGAGGTACATAGTTCCTCTAATCTATCGTGGAGAGGCAAGTTGGACTCACGTGCAAAGGCACAGGGAATGATGATATCAGCGAAGGCACTTACTAAACCAGAGTATCTTGGCCGCGGCCTTTGCAATGAATGGAGGATCGAAGCGAAGCGATATATGGGGATCTTTGAAAACAGGAACTTTGAATTCGGAAGGGCACCGCCATAATTGACGAGATGGACGATTGACAGCAAGCAGTGATGCATTAAAGATCTCATTGGCCGGCACGGAGAAATCGACAAATTTCTCATCCGGAGTGTTCCAGAAACGCTTGCGTGTTAACAAGTATGTGCGCGCAGGACTTGTTGCCAGGGGTATATGATCCATCTCTCTTGGCATGTCCCTCACACTGATGCGAACGTGCTAATTCCTGTAGGGCATATATGGGCGTTGCGAATGTTATGACACGTCGCGTATTGTCTCGCTGAGCACAGCCTTACAGTGTTGCTAGATCGTTCCTTGTCACAACTCGCAGATTCGCAAGCAGATCAACTAGATTTGCTGGCTGAAGACAGAAGTGGTCTTTTGGGTTTCCGTGGCCAAGTCGACATTACAAATGCGCAGGATTGGCGCAGGACTTCCTTATGTAGGCTCCCCACTGCTAAAGCTACTAGTATCTGCAAATAAATGGTGAGTATTCCGTTTTCTCTATCTCCTCCCCGCCGATAAGACGTTTAGCTTAAGTCCACTGCACGTTCAGTACTTAGTCCTTTGGAGACTGTGTCGGGTCCAATGCCACCGACTCAAAAGGCGAGCACACCATCTCGCTCACCGAAAAACAAATTGTTCGCTCGGCTCCAATCGACACTCGCCCCCTCAAATGATTGCGCCTATAGGTTGACCGTTCCCTAAGCAGTGTATGATTGTCCAGTTCGCTTCAATGGTGTATATTGCGATATTTCAAGCCATATTACTCACCACTCTTTAGATACCCATACCCACGTTTCCGACTGGATGCCCAAACCCCCTCCAGTGAGCCCACCGAGGAAGGTGTGCATGATGATAATAACAATATGGAGGATTGAAGCTTGCTGCAGGCACTGAGTACTGATCCCTCGTCGATGCGCTGCAGTTCTGCAACGTCAAATGCTCTCCTTTTTAAAACTTTCTTCCCAGTCTGAGTCGAACTCCGTGTCCATAGCCACCTATCATTATGAAGCTAGAATCACTGATATGAATGTCCCAGACAAAGTCCGGCAATCAGCGCATTTGGAGCGCATCGAGTATGTATCATGGACTATTGACGACGTTGGTCATATCACTGACTAGATTCTCAGGCCCACATCTACAATTGAACTATCCTAGGAAAAGCTCTAAAGTGAAATTTAAAGGACTCGACACGGATTACACATTACGCCACGATGAACACCTCTAGCAAACGAACGGTCTCCCAACTTGGCCATTGGCATAGGCTTCAGCGATGAGCTATCATCAATCACTGACAGTGAGACGAGTGTCAGATGCGAAGACACAAACACTGACCTTTATCGATACATAAGTCCCAGCGACACAGATGAAAGTGCCGGAAATAATAGTCAATACTGCGAGTGTAGTCCCGATCGGTCGTCGTTTGAGCCCGTCCATGCCACCCTCGAGATGATATGCGTCATGCAACCAGAAGAATCCGGCCAAACCGTACGTGTACCATGCGGCAAAGAGGGCTGCCGCGATGCCAATTAGGTAGGAAAATATCGGGACTGCGATGGCGAGAATCGCAGCCATAGCTGAGCCTGCAAAACACAGCAGAGTCCAAACCGTCCACCCGAGTAAGGTATGCGAATGGACGTGCTCTGAATGACGAAATATGCGAACAAACACCAGCTTTGTAGCTGTATGAGTGTATAGCCCGGAAGAGCTTCCAGAAAAAGAATTAGCGAGAACTAGACCAAACAACAACGAATCACTGACAACAGGAAATTTGGGAGAGCAATGGCAAACGCTGCCTTTGCCCATACCGGAGGAAGAGAAAAGAGGACCGGGGACTGGACTGTGTTTCCAATGTAGACATACATGACTACGCTGAAAACAACATAGAATACTGTAGCGAAGCCCTGTAGACACCATGCTGCCTGAAAATGGCCTTCAGTCACAACATCGAGTACAGGAGCGTTCTGACCTTTATAGCGTCCTCGGGTTTACGCATCTCAGATATCAAAATAAAGAACCTGTCATAGGTCAGTTTCAGCAGGAATACCATGCCCAAAGTCATACATGAAGTGTCCTAGTAAAGTAGTCAGGAATGTTGATTAGTAACATCACAAAATTCCGTACCTGCATATGCAAAAACCTAATGAGCAGATAAGTAACACTAAGTTACTCGAAGACATAAGAAAGTACCCACAGGATTTGTGACAGCCAAGAAAGCATCGAAAAAGTTACTGGAGGCAGCTACTGTCAAAGACCGTCCGGGAACTGGGTTCACCCCTGCTCCAATCATTGCAACGAAACCAGCTACGGCAATGACTGCTGCACTAAGAACACCCATCCATGCCAAGCGATCCAGTGTCCGTGGTAGTGAAATCAAGAAAGCAACGGTGCCAGTAATGATGACCAGATACATACTACACATGCCCTGATTCGAAAGCGTTGACAGCGCCTGCTGGCTGGAAAGTAGTCCAGAGCCCTGTTTGTGATGATTCAATTGCGACATATTCCAGTTAACTCGATGACGCACCGAACCAAACACAGCGAAAGAAACAGTTCCGAAGGCAAGCACTTCCCGAGCCACAGGTCCGAACATAATGTATCCAGCGTCGCCTAGAGTATCTCAGGTGTTTGAAAATCACCGATGACAGAATTTATTACCCATAGTATGCACATTAGGATGATTCAGCTTGAAGTCGATGAGCAACTTGGCGGTGTACAGGCCAAAAATACCGAGAAACACGATTAGAATGACAGCGGGCACAATGCCTGAAGATTTGTAAAAACGCTGCTCCTCATGGAATTCAGAGGACAGTAAGCTCACCAACGACTGCTAGTGCGCTTGGAAGAGACAGGATACCATTGCTGACGATTTCAGCTATCATAAGGAGGCTGACAGCCTACGTTCGATCAATATTTTACTGTGTGCAATCTTGCATAGACGCACCTGCCAGCTGAGTGTCTTGTATTGAATCTGATGGATACCATCTTCACCGAAAACATCTTTAGCACCTTTCGAATCTTGCTTCTCGGCGGTCATCGACGTGTTTTCGTCCACATAGGGTTGTCCATGCGCTTCATATGTCGGGTGGGACGCCATCTAATGGGTGTGATAAGGTCAGGCTACGAGAGCACTCACATCCTATAGATACTAATGCGGAGCCAACAGGATAAGGGGAAAAGGCGAACACCGCACTGCCCCATTTGCCCCGGCGTAGACGAAACCACCCGTCCCTACCTGTTGGACTATCTGTAATATTCACATCCGAGGAACGCCATATATTCGCCAACTCACTCACGCCGACGGCATCACCAAGCAACCTCCATCTCCTACATCATCACCTCCGAAAAGCCAGCCAAGTACTCATGCGTTGCACCAACAAGACGGGAAGGCTCAAGCCGATGAGATTCCGGTTGCAGATAGTTGACAGTTGCTACAGCCTGAGCAGGCTGAGGAAAAAGGAAATCTAGATTGCACTCGCAGCAGCGGTGTTGTGGTCCAGGGCAGAACTATTTTGAAGCAGTTATGCCCGTGGCAGAACTGGCAGAAATAAGAAAAAAGTTGATCGTGGCACTCCAAGCGTGCTATATTGATGTGAGACCATTAGATAGCGAGTTCAGGTCCTCGCATTCCTCTCTCACTACATTTACATAAATTTTGCAGTGCTTCAAGTTGTGCTTCGCGTTCGCACTGTTCGTCGGGAACGTATCAATCGGTAGCTAGCGAGCCTAGCATGTATCAAAGCACCTGCTATAGTACTTGTCAAGTCCAATGTAGCCAGGCTGTGTGCTACTAGCCATCATCATGATGTCAAGCCCCAAACATGCCCATTGCCAAAGCACCCGTGATACCACGACAAACTCTCCGCAACACCTCGGTACTATGTCAATCTCCAGACTTATCTATGCCGCGTCAAAATAGTTATGTCACAGCCTCATGTGACTCAGGTGCTGGGCGTCTTTTGGAACACGAGGCAGGTTAAGGCAGTGCGAAGCAACATCCAGTGATACCCGCGCCTCACAGCTCCCACAATCCCTCCGCGAAGTCCGACTGTCCACCTCAACGTTCGACACCATCAGTAAAATGTCGGATCTCGTTCCCAATCGAAAGTTTAGTGAAGATCATGAAGGCGCTATAACCGCAGTCGTAATGTCCCCTGAAGGACAACGAATGATTACCGGCTCGTACGACAGGACTCTTCGTCTATGGGACTTGAAGACAGGCGTTGTGTTGAAGAAGATGGAGGGGAATCGCCATGAAGTGCGGGCATTAGCGGTATCACGAGATGGGCAATTGATAGCAAGCGGTGGTGACAAGGGAGAGATCATTATCTGGCATGGAGAAACTGGGGAGTATCTCGTCCAAGTAATGATGGTCGACTCCTATACGATCTTCTCGCTGGACTTTTCTCCTGATGGGACAGTGCTGGCAAGTGGATCCATGGACTGGACGACGAAGTTTTGGAGCCAACATGGCAGATGCAAGGAAATCCAATTGAATCCAGTACTTGGGTCAAGTGCGTTCGCTATTCGCCATCCGGCAAACTTCTTGCCATTATGACAAATAGCAATCTCAAAATTTACAATTCGGACACGAAGGAATGTGTTACAGACATGGGGGTGACAAATATAGGAACAGCCTCGCGTGGACACCCGATGGCACACGCCTTCTTTTGACATGCTATCACCTTGGTCACCCAGCAATACAGGAGTGGGATACATCGACTTGGAAGCAGGTTGGTAATGACTGGACAGGCCACAGTCACCGTATTAAAGACATTGTCATTAATCCCGCTGGCACACTTGTCGCCACCGCATCTCTTGACGAGGATGTTCGTCTCTGGCGGCTCTCAGATAGACAAACCATTGCCGGGTTCCAGCACTCAGCCCCGACGATGTGTGTTACTTTCTCCATAGACGGCAAGCACATCCTCAGTGGAGGTGAAGACAAGATAATCTCAGAGTGGGCAGTACCTGATGACGCTAATTCAAAGGTATGTTTTCATCATTGACTCTAGTAGCGCGATTCGAGCATGCTTCTACAGGTCTTCATCACCACCATAGCCGCTCGTGCCATCTGCAGGAAACCGGCCTGGAGACAAGCTAAACAGTCTGGGACTTCGGCACCTCCGAGCGGAGTTTAAACTCCGCTCGATGTTTCAAACGGCCATGCCAATCAGTCCCGCCAACGCTCCAGCCGCTGCCGCCTAACATTTCACCGGAATACTCCATGTTCGTGCCCCGCCTCAACTCTTCCCGCCGTTCTCCTTGCTCGCCCATAATTTCGCATGAGGGATCATTACATAATGGTTCAGAATGGCCATGTTGCGTTGGTAGAGGAACTTGCAAACATACTATCAACCTAGGGATTCATACCAAATTCATACTATGCGCTTGTTAAAAATCCATCATCCAGTGTGATCCGTAACCGTTATAACATCACTGCCACAAAAGTAAGCATAATCGTCAAACTTATCCATACTTCTCAGACTTCTTCAGGTAACGCACAACACGTCTTGGAGAGAGCGAACATCTCTGTCGTGTGACGTGTCTGCAAATAAGCCAACAATTATATCGTCCATGTTGTTGGTGCAACTAATGTCGTCTGCGTAGATGATCTCCATGACTTCGATGCCCGGTCTATTGTCAGGGTGAGAGAATCATTCACTGTCAACCTCTGATCACGTTCACAGTTGGTAAGTCTCTTCATTTCATTTGAGTCCTGCTCAACAATGACAAGTACTGTTCATTCATTGACAGTGTGTCAGTATGTTATCCGTCTACAGGATCCCAGTGCAGTCTGGGACTGTACAACTCGGAGTAGGTAACTTCTGAAGCTGAGCAGGTGCGTGGGTTTTCCAACACTATAGCTATCACGGATCGAACTCATGTATTCAATGCTGAAGGTACTACCGTTAAGAATGAAACGGCAAGAAACATCGACATTTTTAAACAACGAAAGTTAATTCAGCGCTGAATCGGCAGATATCACAAAAACTATCTAACTAGGAGATTCTGCAAATCCGCGCTTTGTGGAAAATTTCATGTGGCATATGATAGTTAGGACTCAGGATCGTTGCCCCTCTGTAAGACATCTTGCAATATAAGGGCCAGTGATGATTCCCTCCTCACTTTGAATTGATGTCTTTGGCGGTGGCTCGCTGGTGGTAAGCCCTCGTGCGAATATTAATGCCTGGCAGGCCCCTATTTTTCTCCTTTTGCCCTCCACGATTCTCTACAATGTCTAGGTCCCGAGGTCATCCTCTCAATTCACTTGACGCGTTTTGTGGCAAGTCCTTATACTCGATGTATTGTACAGTATTGTGAATTACAATAAGAAGCGTCTGTGCACTATGTTTACCGTCATCTTTTCCTCATCTTCTGTTGCAAACAGCGAATGTGCGTAGGTCATGCTTAAGTACGGCGTGAGCAGGTGGAGTGAATTGCTTCCGCGGGATCAAACGTTCTAGGTCCACGGGATCAACAAGTGCTCCCAATTTCCAAATGCCTATGATCTCATCACACAAAACCGGGCCGCCGGTGACGACACTACCACCATCTCTGAGTGCGCGGACAATTAATGTCGGCCTCCGAACATTGTCCCGTTCGAGCGACAAAATACCGTATATCACGTTGGTAAAACATGAAATCCCACAGTTTGTTAGTCCTCTTTATCAACGATCTACCGTGACCTGTAAACGAGACAACCATGGCACCGCTCACGATCTTTGTCGCTTCATACGCTGACTCCATCTACACGTTGTCCTTTGATCCAGTACCGTCGACAGGATCTCCGACTCTTAATCTTCTGGCTCGAACAATCGTCGGCCACCGTCCGTCATGGATCGCATTTCATCCGTCCGATAAATCCCTCATATTTACAGGGCTCGAACAGGCAGATGGAGAGGTTGCCGTGATCAAGTATGGCAGGGGTGGAACCATCAAAGAAGGAGAAGTGGTGGCCAGGGCCAAGAGTGGTGGTGCAGACCCTTGCCACCTTCTTGTCGCAGAGGACGAGCTTATCATTGGAAATGTAAGTCTCCAAAACGTCGGCTCTACCTATCCTAATGTTCCCTTTCTTGCATCCGCGTCTGCATCTAGTACTCCTCGGGCACAATCGCGACCCTTCCGATATCAACATCCGCACCTTACATACTCTCACCACACCCATGGACGCTTTCGATGCCGTTTGAGCATGTAGGTCGGAACAAAACTCGTCAATCTTCATCTCACCCCCATCAAGTCATCTTCAATCCACTGAGCCAAACAGAGAAAGAGCTCCTTGTCCCGGATTTAGGTACAGATAAAGTCTGGAGACTCACCAAACGAAGCGATGGCAAGTGGTCCTTTCGCGGTCACATTGACTTTGAAGCAGGGGGTGGTCCACGACATGTCGCAGCTCGAGGTGTGTCACTAACTTCTACTCTTGAAACCTTGTTGATTGTTATAACAGGAAATACCCTTTACACGCTACTGGAGCTCACCTTAAAGCTTGCTGTGCATACTTTCCCTCCGCTTCCGGCGACCCCTACTCCTCTTACATCTCTGTTCACACTTTCTGCATTACCGATACCGGATACCATGTCGGCAGCGGAAATTCTGCTACCCGAACCCAACGCATCCTTCCCTGAAACATTCATCTACACATCGAACAGAAACGACCCTCATTCAGAGGGTGACACTATTGCAATCTTCTCTCTCGCCGCCGGAGAGGGTCAGCCAGAGCTTGTGAACGAAGTGCGTACGGGGCTAATTCATGTCCGGGGAATGGTGTTTGGAGGTGATGAAGATAAGTATCTGGTTGTAGGTGGTGTGGAAGGTGGCGGAGTGAAGGTATTTGAGAGGATTGATGGTGGCAAGGGACTCCAAGAAATCGCGAAGCTCGGTGAAGACGTCGTAGGACGTCCCACCGGCTTTTTGTGGTACTGAGAAGTCACGATGTGAACCGGTGGACATACATCTGCTCGCCAGCTGGAGTGTAGCATTTATGGGTGTCTGTCACATTAGGTCGAGGATACCAGTTGTATAGTATGCTTGCTTGTAGTGTCCGATCGAACCGGCTATCAGGGACTCGTACTATGATATGATTACAACATACAGGATACAGGTAGTACAGTACACTTTTTCATAACGCATGGCGTCGGGACCCTCCCAGGCTATGCATTATCACCCCTTATGCATTACCAAGTTGTGTGACATATGTGACACATTGTGATGCCATGTGACCTCCCTCAAGAGTGTGACAGCTGAGAGCGGTACAAAACATATCATTTTCTATTTACCGCCGAAGTACGAATCTATTGTTGTCTGCTTTGCTCCGTGAATGTCCTCTCTGCGCACACAAGCCCGAAATGCCCGCAGCCGTTTTGAGAGATCAAATGAGAGCTCGAGTTCACCAAATTGAAGGCAAGCATCTTCGAGTTGCTGGCACAGCGTGAATACTTGTGTGAAAGTGTACTCCGGCGTCGCGTTTTCATCTTCGTCGCCGTCCTCGCCATCTGAATCCACCTCCATGATATCCCCCCTTTTAATTGCCATTTGTCGTTGAACTTCCTCGACAATCTCGTTGTCCCCACATCAGGAAATTGCGCGATACCTATGCGGACCTATGTATCCTACGTAGATCGTCTATGTCGTTAGGTAAATACCCACTATGTAGCTACTTCATAGGCACACTTGTACACTGTGTGACCTATGTAGGCAGCGTATTTAGCGTACACACACCAAATACACAGGACTAGATAGGCCGGGTAGCGCTCGTATCACACATCCTCCCGCGCGATGCAAAATAGAATGACACGGGCACCAATATCATTGCATTCAAACACTGTAACTAGTTGCAGTAGCTAATACTCGTCGTCCGACTCAACACGCCCATCCCATTCTGCCGCTGCCGCTGCGAATTCGTCAGTTGAGAAGTTCTCTGATGTACCACCCACTCTAACTGCATCCTCGGGAACATTTGCATGGCGCCTGTGTCCGTCTATCAGCAGGAGTAACAAATATCAAGCTTGTTGGATCACATACCGAGCATGTTTCAGAAGCCTCTTGCAAATCTTGGGCAAAATGTCTGCATGTCTCGTACCCTCATCAAAGTCGACTAGCATTTTGTAGTAAGTCTCGAAGATGGCAGCATAGCGCTCTTTGTAGAAGCGTGATTCAATCTTGGTGCCGGTGGTCCACTCCACCACACAAGCCTCGATCTATGATAGCCAATTAGTCATGAGATCAAGCCTAGTCACCGAACACTCACCCCAGTAAGGACTGCCGCAATGATACCCAAACTCGCCCCACCAGTAGTAGTGTCCTTGAAGTAGCTTGACAGCGTGGCACCCAACGAGTTCTTCCTATCATAGCACCATTTGGTGATGCCCTTGAGGATGATGTCCGCTTCAAATAGACCTTTGCCTGCTTCGCGGTTCTGTTAGTTCATAGTCAGTTCACACCACCGAACACAAAGAATGTATGTGTATGGTCACCTTGCATGTGAAGAGCTTGCGATTTCCAAGGAGAGTGGATGTGAGCTCTGCATTGAATCTGATGGCCTCTGGAGTTTTGTCGTTTTTGAAACCAAACTCTGTCTCAACCAGTGCTCGCAGAGCAGTCTTGAGGTCACTGCGTAAATTAGAGCCACGTTCTGTGATCTATACATATCATTGGAGCGAGTCATAGCAATCAGAACAAAAAACTTACCAACTTATAAGCATCCTCATCATAATCAATCCGAACACCTTGAGAACGACAAGCTGCCGCCCATGCTTGGCCAGACCAGTCGCGTGCCTCTATATCATTAGGATAAATTGTTGTATTGGCGAGAATTGATTGATAATGTCCGACTGCAAGATGGATCGTTGATGCATAGAGTTTGTCGAAGTCAGCTGATCGCACACGCCCCCAAGTACCGCCCTCGCCCATCTTGACTTTTTTGACGAGTTGGAGTCCCTCAATGGTAGTGAGCGCAGGATGGCCTGCACGTTTGATTCCAGCTGTTGCAAGCAGGGGCTGTCTGGAAGGTGTAAGCGCATGGACACGAGGGTGCTGCAATGCAGGAGACTCAGACTCGGCACGACTGTACATCAACAACTCTCTGGTACTACTATGCCCTCGCCCTGAGTTCACCAGCCGTCTTGAAAGTGATTCGGATGGAGATGACATGTCAGCGTACTCCCCTGGCCACTCTGTATCATGCCCAACTCTCAGGTGGTCGGTTGGTGGCACATAGGGCTGTCCATTTTGCTGAGGTGTAGCCTAACACCATGTAATGTTAGGCTCGAAGCTTGATCAAAGTAGTAGCAAAGATAAAAATACTAACCAGCTGTGAATAAACATGGTCCTGAGACCCATGATCAGGCAAGAGTGTTGGATCAATCATGTCGTCAGATGGCCGCACATGTCTTAATAGTGCAGGGTCAATAACATTATCAGATGGCTGCACACGTCTCACTGGTGCTGAGGGAATGTGAGTGGTCCGCTGAGTGAGCCGCGGGGGTAGAGTCGGTGGTACCGGTGGTAGAGTGGGCATTGGCTTATGTGTCGCACTTGGCTGCACAGCTCTGAACGTGAACTACATGAGTGGGGACTATCTTTCAGGAAACACCATAAAACACCAATAGCAGAACACATACCACGTCTTGTTCAAGATCTGAATCTTCTTGTTCAGACTCTGGGTCCAAACGAGACTCCGAATCCAAAGGCTGAAATCCATTGATCTCTTCGAGTGCCTGCCTGTTTCTGAGGGCTTGATGGACATATCTATTGATTTTCCTTGCCTGCTTTTCATTTGAGGTGTCCTCTGCATGTTGATGGTGAGTAAGGATGCATGGCTGAGTCACTCCAATAGATGAAACATTACCTTGAGCTTGTTTCTTGGTGGTATTACGACGTACACGCATGTTGCGGGTATCACCAGCGTCATACTGCTCCGGTATGTTGAAGTTTTGCTGCAGATCAGTGGCTTGATTGTCGATATCACCACGATTGGTGGGGACAGGACCACCCTGCACTTTTTTCTTGTGGCCGCGGGAAGACATCAAAGTCAAGAAATGACTGTGATCACAAGAGAAAAAAACAGATCAGTTGGATAACCCATCCATGGGAGGATGCGGGACAGGTCCAAACCTTAACCTGACATGACAGAGAGAGACAAGTCGACCCCTGGTGTCCTCGGAAAGGAACGGGAACCTTTTCGGCGAGGATCGAAAGAGCCAACGATCAATATGATGTGCGGGGAAGAGCCAAGATCGAAAGAGCAAATGATAAAAATTTGACACAATTGTCAGTATTGGCCAGCTTCAGACCGAGAGGCACTTACTTCAACATGCCTACATGCAAAGATTGTGGCCAATGGGTCCTGACCACATCCGGACTTAACAAGCACATTACAAGGTCCCCAAGTTGTTGCACAAAGTGGCTTGAACGACTCCAAAATTTCAGTGTCAATGTATTTGATCTTGGTGGGGGGTTTGCAGAACCCCAGCAGGATGATAGCAGTGATGACGGTCTAGAAGACAACAATATGGCCAATGAATTCAATGATATTCCAGAGCAAGACTCCGAAAACTTACCTCCTCCTCCTCCTCCTCCTCCTCCTCCTCCTCCTCCTCCTCCTCCTCCTCCTCCTCCTCCTCCTCTTCGTCAACATCAAGTCCAAGTCGAGGTAGAAGAGCCTGAGGTACCTGGCAATGCATGTTGGATTGATTCCTACCCTGTGGAGGCTTCAGCAGGTGTGCCTTCAACGGATGAGGAGAATGTACCCACCAAGTTCCACAGGATCCAAGCTGAATTAGAAAACGGCGATGATGGGATGTGGGGACCATTTCAGGATGAAGATGAGTGGGAGCTTGGAAAGTGGCTGATACAGAATGTGGGGCAGACTCAGACCGACAAGTTTCTGAAACTGCCGATTGTAAGTGATGTTCATTGATGGTGTTTGCATGGCTCAAAGGAATTCCTTACCAAGATCAAGGACCGGACCGGACCCTCATATACATCCAACAAGTCCTTCTTGAAGAAGATTGATCGGCTTCCCACAAAAGGCCCTGACTGGCATTGTGACCTCATCAAGGTCGCGGGAGATGTGCTTGACGGGGATGGGGAAATGTTGACAACGGACTTGGAGCTATGGCGCCGCGATCCAGTGGAATGCATTCGCGAACTCATCGGAAATCCTGCCTTCAAGGATGTGATGGCCTTTGCACCCGAACGAGCCTACGAAGATCGTCAGGGCAAGGTTCATATATACGATGAGATGTGGACTTGTGATTGGTGGTGGGACATGCAGGTGAGTCTCAAATTATATTCGAAGCCAAGCTTACTACTAATCAACGACTATTCTACAGGGCAAACTACCACCAGGTACCACGATAGCACCTGTCATTCTCGCATCTGACAAGACAAGTCTGTCTCAGTTTCATGGAGACAAATCAGCATGGCCCGTCTATCTCACCATTGGCAACATTGAGAAGTCGACTTGTCGAAAACCGCGGATGCATGCCACTATCTTAGTCGGTTACTTGCCTGTTGCCAAGCTGGACTGCTTTAGCAAAGGCACTCGGTCAGTTGCAGGTTACCGACTGTTTCATGAGTGCATGCGCCGTCTGTTGGAACCCTTGATTGCTGCTGGACATGTGGGAGTTGACATGGTCTGTGCTGATGGCAGAGTGCGTCGAGTGCATCCTATCCTAGCGGCTTATGTTGCAGATCACCCTGAGCAGTGCCTTGTGGCATGCACAAAAGAGAGTTTTTGCCCCAAGTGCCATGTTCATCGTGACGATCGAGGCGAACCTCTTGACTCCCTTCTCCGTGACCCAGATCGGACGATGACTATACTAGAGCACAAGCGTTCTGGCCGGAGAGTAGCAGCTTATACTCGAGAAGGCCTACATCCTGTTTACCGTCCATTCTGGGCAGATCTTCCTCACACCAACATCTTCGCTAGTGTGACACCGGACATTTTACATCAACGCCATAAAGGAGTCTTCCATGACCATCTTCTCAAGTGGTGTACTGAGATTGCGGGGGAAGAGCAGATTGACGAACGATATCGCACAATGACCAACTACCCTGGCCTTCACTATTTCTCCAAAGGGATTTCACTCGTGTCTCAGTGGACAGGAACAGAGCACCGTGAAATGCAACGAGTCTTTCTTGTTGTCCTTGCAGGCACAGTACAGCCTTCGGTATTTCGTGCAGCGCGTGCAGTGCTTGATTTCATATTCTATGCTCAGTTTCATTCTCACACCTCTCAGACTCTAGACGTGCTCCAAAATGCGCTGGACGAGTTCCATGCACATAAGCACATTTTCAAGGATCTCGGAGTGCACAACGATTTCAATATTCCGAAGCTCCATTCAATGTTACATTATGTCGACTCAATAAAATCACGCGGTTCTGCAGATGGGTTCAACACTGAGTTCCCGGAACGTTTGCATATCGATTTTGCCAAAAATGCATACCGTGCAACCAACAAGCGAGACTATGTAGTGCAGATGACTAAATGGTTGATGAGGCAGGAGATGGTTGACCAGTTCTCCACTTACCTTGACTGGCGTTTGGAGAGATTCGAGGAGCCGCAAACTGGTGGAGACGAGGAAGATGAAGATAACGAGAATGATGCCCCGAATGATGAAGCTACAAGTATTCAGCCTGTGAACGATGACTCGCAACCCAATGACCAGGCCATCAGTGCACAGTCGCCAATACACATCCTATCGGCTCGTCCTTCGTTCAAGGCATTGACTATTGCTACAATCACGCACACATTCGGTGCTCTGAATTCCTTGCCAGCGCTGTCACAATATCTTCGCATTGCTGCTCCAAATGGACCTATTGTCAGTGAATGGGATTGTTTTGAGGGTTATCGGCGGCTTTCCATCCCATATATGAAGCTGCCCGCGATTCACATGTCAAAAGGTCTCGATCGCATTCGCGCATCTCCCCCCACTGCACAAGCAGGTCGTTCATCTGTGACTGTCAGAAAATTTGACACTGTGCTTGTACGTGTTGGGGGAGACAATGCGCACACTCAAGGGACTGCATTGGAAGGTCCGTAATCACTCATATACAAAATTTGGACTTACACTCACATGTACTAGGTCTTCAAATCGCGCAGCTTCGATTGATTTTTGAGATCCCGCGTCACCTGAGAGTGGTTGGACAACCGCATCGACTAGCCTATGTTGAATGGTTCCAACCTTTTCGTGCACGAGACGAATTATTTCACATGCATGCTGTTTCTCGTTCTTATGCTGGTCGTGTGCCCCGCTCGAGTGTAATCCCTGTGTCCGATATTGTTCACAGCTGTCACCTCATTCCGAAATTCGGTACTCAAGTGGACAAGAGTTGGGCTGCTGCGCATGTGTTGGACAGTTGTAAGACATTCTACCTTAATTCATGGATAGATATGTACACTTTTTACAAATTTCGCAACACGTCAATGTTAAACTAATTTGGTGATTCCGTGTGCCACAAGTTGCACTTCTAAGAGCTGTGCTTTCCGAGCCTCTTCGCAATGTCTCGCTTCTGCATCCCAACGCTCTGCAACAAGTCTACGCATGTAATTCTGTGAGACGGTGAGAGGGGCTGGCGTTTGGTGGTGAGGATGGACAGGTGTTGTTGGAACTAGAGAAGTCGAAGTTTCATGGTAGGGGGGTACAGGCGTGTGAGGAATCACGGTGGCAGCAGGGAAGTCGGTGAAATTGAGTGGAGGATGGCCTGGCGAGATGTTTCGCAGGAGGTTCTGGACTGCCTCCAAGGGAATCCGCCTGTTGAGTTCTCGTTTGGGCCTGCAAGAATGTGAGCAGGGGTACCGTGGTACTAAAACGACACACCTTTTGATAGGTGACTCTTAGACACGGTCCGGAGACTGGGAACGAACACTACGAAATTAAGGTCAGAAACTGGTGAGACGCAGCCAGCATGATGGCAGTCCTTACCGCTTGGCAGTGTTTGCCAGTGGTGAGTTCACTGCCAGCAGTGGGAAATTTTCTTGGTCCGAATACTTTGGCTTTTGAGTACTGAAAGCTGGTTTGTGAGTGTCATGGCACGGGCGCGTGAGGCTTACCTTGCGAAAACCATTGAACAGGTGGCGTGCACAAGAGCTCAGAGGATCGAGATTGAGATTGAGAAAAAAACAAAGGCACAGTGCATAATTTATCTTGTTGAATTATTTGGCTTTCATTGGTGTATATGAGGGCTACATGTCCTACGAGGTGTATATAGGATGGCACGGTCTATGTAGGTGGCTGTGGGTAGCACGTGCCTACATGTTTCCAGGTGGCACCTGGAAACTCGTAATCATGATCACTAACTTCCCTCTCTTCAACAGGGTCCAAAAGCTCTTCGATTGTGGGCAGCTCGCCAATAATTCGGTTACAAGACTTCAGGACCGCCAACTGAATCCATGAGTTCAATCTCGAGGGTTGTAACTTGGGTGGGTATCTTTGGACGTGCTGGAATTTATTGGACATGCGAGAGGAGAACAAAGACAAATTTTGACACCGCTATGCACTTTAGATAGTCTAAACTACATTAGTTTAGGTGCTGACAGTGACTGATGCTGACCCGAACACGGCCTCATAATGCATAAATCAGCCTGGAGGCTTATGCGTTTCGCATGCATATTGCCCGCGTCCCACAATGGGACCTATTGGACGCAGAACAATCTGATGTGTCCGAAGAATCCGAGAACGGGACAATCAGGAAGGAGCATAGTACGAGCGCATCCCAAATGAGCAGAACGAGCGACGCCTGACGTCGGCTCGTACGTTTCAATATATTGCTAAAATTTCATTCCTATTTCGTCCGCACATAAAGTGATTCGTATTTCGTAGGAACATCTCAGTCCGTTTTCAAGAGACTGAGATGTGAGTACATAGTTCTACCTAATGTTTACAAAACTAACAAGACCTAGATACTTTGTCGTTCTAGGTACATACAATGTTAGAGTCCGTTTTCAAGAGACTGAGATATACTTTGTTGTTCTAGCTTCGTCCTGACTCGTCCGCTCGCCTTAGAACTCAATAGGTTATGAGCCCTGACACGACCATGGACTCCGCGCTCCCCAGTACCAATTCCGCATTGTTTAACGTCCCCAAACTAGCTGAAGACGGCAGTAACTGGATTACCTATAAGGAGCGGATGCTCACTGCAATTGGTGCCCGAGGTTTGATGTGTTACGTTGACGGCCGTGCAATAAAACCTGTCCCATTCAAAGTTGATGCGAAGACACGCGCGGTCTCGAAGCCTGATGGCTCGATACCTACGCAAAAGGAGATGGATGAGCTGGACGCGAAGATCGATGAGTATTTTCAAAAGGACTCACTCGTGAAGCAGCAGATTTTCAGCACGATCACAGATCGGCTGTTACTGCAAGTGCAGAAGCTCGAGGGCGCTGCACAGATCTGGGAGGAGATCCGCGATATTCATGAAGGCAAGACCGAGCTGGTCCAGATTGACCTTTGTCGACGTCTGCAGGATCTTAGATGCGACGAGAGCACGGATGCTAAGGCTCACCTCAGTGAGCTCCTGCGCCTACGCGAGTCCCTAGCGGGGATGGGAGCTGATGTTGAGGACCGTGACTTTTACGCCATAATAATAGGCTCCCTTCCCAAATCATATAGACCCCTCCTGTCCTCCATAAATGCAGCCGCCAAGGTGACCCAGAAGCCAATCAGCCCCTATGAACTCATCAGTGTTGTCAGCGAGGAGTATGAGCATCGAATGCTTACCGAGCGACGTCCTGGAAGGAAGGGAGGCAACTCTGCCCTATCCGCAAGGACCACCAACAATAAGCCCCGCAGCTCGAACAACATGAATACAGCCTCTTCGGATATTACATGCTTTAATTGCGACCGTAAAGGCCACTACAAGCAAGATTGCTGGAGGCCAGGTGGTGAGAAGGAGGGGCAAGGCCCTAAGCAAATGCAGCGCAGAAGTGGCCGTGCCCCAAAAGAAGGAGCCAACGCAGCGAAGCAGAGTAGCGCCCAGGATGAGTATGCATTCGCAACGTCAGACTTAACTGCCATCGCGAAAGACCTTGACGTACCTGTTGATCGCCGGGGAGCCATCATGGACTCTGGCACTACCTCTCATTTTTGCCCTGACCGTGCAAAATTCACAAACTACGTCTCCATCCCACCGCAGGATATACATACTGCAGATGGGTCAGCAGTCAGCGCGATAGGTCGTGGTGACGTCAGCATCGACTTACCACTGGGAGATAGGCGCACCTCTGTTGTCCTTAAAAGTGCTCTTTATGCGCCGAAATTGGCCTTCACTCTCATATCCACCAACAGAATCACTGCAGCGGGATTAGCCATTCATTTCGAGGGGAAAATGTGCAAAATACTCTCACCTGGACCCAAGCGCAAGGTAATTGCAGAAATCCCGCAGTTGGAAGGTCTCTACACCGTTGTCAGTAACCGACAAGAGCGCGTTGTAGAGACTCATGCCTCTCATGGTATGATATGGCACTTTTCACTAGGGAGTTCATTGCACGAACTTGCAGCACCATTCTGTGTGCTATCTGCAGCTATCCCTATATGAGGTGCAGCTTTCCCGCGCACCATTCCCGTGCTTCGCGATGTATATACGCGCGCGCTTTCCCGCGCTTGAGCACCCTATAGCGCCAGCCATCCGGAAGCATCCATCCACTGTCCACCAAGTTCTCTAGTGTGTATGTTTCCATTTCTCTTATCTGTGTATTGTTCCACCTTTATTTTTATCATGGACCCTTACTTACATATAGCTTTACATATCTTACTCGGTAGCGCTTCGGCTCCGCGTGACAGCGCTTAGGCGCCGTATATCAGCGCCAGCATTACATACTATTAGGAACTGGGGAACTTTCGAACTTTGGACTCTACCTCCCACTTACCCACTTACTACCTAGCAGAATATAGTTGCAATCTATTCCTTGGCACCTCGCACTCACATCTCTTGTTATTCATCATATCACCACTTAAGCAAACTCACACTTACTCTCACTTGTTTCCGCTCACGCGCGCGCGCGCTTCCCGCGCCTCGCACGTACCTTCGCTTTCCCGCGCCTCGCGCGTACCTGCGCGCTTTCCTGCGCTTCGCATTGGCCGACCAGTAGCGCCTTCAGCGCCTACTACCAGATCCTTGCTGCACTCGCTTCCCCTTTAGGGTCGAACGCACTTGTCGTCTCAGGTATAGCAGACTAGGCAACGCACGACCTTACAACATTCACAGATACAGTCTGGAGCATTGTTTTGTTCCTCTCTGTATTGTTGTTTCTACAGCGTGAACATCGCCAAAGGAAAACTTAGCCTTTACGATGCGCACCGTATCCTAGGGCACATATCACAATCCGCGGTTAAGCTGATGCTGGAAAAATGCCTGATAAAAGGGCTGGACATTGACGCTACAATGCCCCAACGGTTTTGCGAGGTCTGCGTCAAGGCAAAAGCCACGTGTCAATCCTACCCTGCAGAGTCAAAAGACCGGGCAACCACTTACACGGGTCTGATACACACTGACCTGTGGGGGCCAGCGCAAACGACCAGTATAGCTAGATCTTCGTACTATATCAGTTTCACGGATGATTTTTCCCGTGAAACTAAGGTCAAATTCCTAAAGGCGAAGAGCGAGGCACTCACAGCATTCCAAGAGTACGAGGCTAATCTCGTTCGACAACATCCAGGAGCACGCATTCAAAAGGGCATTGAACGAGAGCTTACCGTTCATGACTCCCCCCAACAAAATGGCATTGCTGAACACCTTAATCGAACCCTTGTGTCTCTTGCACGCGCTATGATCCTTGGCCGGGACCTCCCAAAATACCTATGGGCAGAGGCAGTCAACTATGCAGTATGGTTGAAGAATCGCGCACCTTCTAGGGCCATTCCTGGCAACACTCCCTACGAGCTCGTCCACAATGATAAACCGGATCTCGCCAATGTGCACGAGTTCGGCGAGAAGGTGTTTGTCCACCAGGCGGATGTAGGGAAACTTGAGGCAAGGGCGGAAGAGGCAATTTTTGTTGGCGTGGACGGGGAGAGCAAGGGGTACCGCATATATTGGCCTGGAAAGCGTAAGATCTCGGTTGAGAGAAACATCAGTTTTGCGCCTCTCACCGTGGACGTTGCTGCTGACATAGCGGCCGAGGGGGAGCACACGGTATCCGGCCAAGCGACACCAGCAACAGCAACACCCCCATCCCCAACACCGAAAGCGCCAACCACACCTCCAAGAACCCTCAACCTCCTACCAGAACCTCCAGCAGCACCACGGACCACCAGAGTGCGCCCCCCTCCAGGCTACTATAGCGCCCTAAATGAGGGGGAGAGCGCTAACGTTGCAGTAGAAACCCTAAACTGGGGAGAGGAAGAACAGTCAGTACATGGGGACGAAGAGTACGTCACTCACCAGTATGCCATGGCAGCGGTGCAGCCTGAGCCCATGTTGCAGCAGGCGCTGAACGGC